ATTTTATCTCAATTGTTAGCTTCTTAAAAGCAATGCCATATGTCTAAGTTATCTCTGTCATGACATATTAGTAAAAAGTCTTATTTTAATTGCTGCGCAATATTACACTGTTGGAATATACCCGAATTTACTTGTCTACACTCCACCTGGTAGGCATTTGTAATGTTTCCAGATTTTTACTATTTTAAACAGTGCAATTGTGAACCCTTTTCTGTGTCTCCTGTGTACATGTGTAGGAGGTATTCCAGGCATATATCCAAAAGTAGAATTGTGGACTCATAGGTTAAACACACATAAATGTGTGTACAAATATACATACATACATATGTGCATACACCCATATATATATAGCTTAAGATGGTATATGTGTAAGATATATAAGTAATATATAATAGATCTTGTGGTGTATATCCTTAAATGTTTATTGGATTTATGGGCTTCTTTTGAGTGAAATGCTTGTTCATTATTTGGGCTATTTTTTTTCTGTTCATTCTTTTAAAAATTATTATTTGGGGCTGGGAAGGTGGCTCAGTGATAGGGTGCTTGCCTTGCATGCATGAAGCCGTGAGTTTGATTCCTCAGCACCACATAAGCATAAAACGCTGTAAGTGGCACTGTGGCTCAAGTGGTAGAGCACTAGCCTTGAGCTGAAGAGCTGAGGGATAGCACCCAGGCCCAGAATTCAGGCCCCAGAACTTGCAAAAAAATTATTATTTTAAGTAATTTTTGTGCCAGTACTGGGGCTTGAACTCAGGGCTCCACTCTCTTGCTTGGCTATTTTGTTTTTTTTTCTTTATTTTTTTTAATTAAAAAATTTTTTTTTGAACATACTGTACAGAGCCCTTTTCTTTCTTTTTTTTTTGTCGGTCGTGGGGCTTGAACTCTGGGCCTGGGCGCTGTCCCTCAGCTCTTCAGCTCAAGGCGAGCGCTCTACCACTTGAGCTACAGCGCCACTTCTGGTTTCCTGGCGGTTTATTGGAGATAGGAGTCTCACGGTGTCTCCTGCCCGGGCTGGCTTTGAACCGCGATCCTCAGATCTCAGCCTCCTGAGTAGCTAGGATTACAGGCATGAGCCACCAGCGCCCGGCTAGCCCTTTTCTTTCTAAACAAACCCAACTGTTACTTTTTTGAGACATTTCAGCTATCAGTTGCTATAGTCAATTTCTAGAGACTTTGTTGGTTCAGTGAGGTTATAATTTTTGCTTGTTGGTGTCCAAGTTCCTGTTCACTGAAGTAGGAGGTAATTTTTTCAGTGTTCATAATCTGATTTCGTGCATGTCTCTTCAGAAATTCTAAGAACTCTGTTTATTTTCTCGGAATCTGTGGACATTCCTGATATTTCACCAACAGAAGGCACTCTGAGTCTAGATTTTTTAAAAAAACTTTTTTTAAAAAGTGAAGCATTAGGGGTGTGTGTATATGTGTGTGTGTGCGCCCACACGCGCGTTTCATTTGATGTTGGTATAATGTGTGGAGAGGAAGGGCAAAAACAAATAGGGATACAGGTGGACCCATTGCAACAACGAGATGTACAAGTCGTTATGTCGAAAAACGAACTTTACAACTTTGGCGGTGGGGAGGGGGGTGGGGGGTGAGAGTTGGGAAGGGATAGGACTGGGGAAACAAAGGAGGAGGCAACAATGCTTGATAAGAAATGTACTCAATACTTTGCCCATGTCATTGTAACCCCTCTGTACGGTATTTTCACAATAAAAAAAACTCTCTAAAGTAATAGCTGCCATTCTTTCCTTTATTAAGACTCTGTTTGAGCCAAGATTTGTCCCAAATCTGCAGAATGAACTGAGGATGTGTCTTCCTCGCAAGCCATTTGGAGCTCTTACTGATCTTGATGCTTTATCTCATAGCCACAGGCTCAGTCATTGCTGAATTCTGCCTGGTTCTGAGTATCTCATGCAGGAATCAGCCCCAGGTGCCTGTGCTGTAACTTGACCTCTCCTCTTCCTTCCCTCAAGTAGACAGTTATTGTTTCCATTCTTGTTGCTGATTCAGGGGGAGGAATGGAATAGGGAAATCCTATGGCCAAGGACACTGCAAGACTTGATCACACCTTGAATGAACTTATCAAGATCAGTGTACTACATGTGTAATGCCAAGGCCCACACTATCACAGACTACTTGCTGCTGACATGGATTTGTGGCCCAATGGTCACTGTAGTATGACTCAGGCGATGCCCATTAGTAAGTTTAATTGGACAGACCCATAGATGTCAACTTGGTGTTGATGTATGTCCAGAGGCCTTACCCAGGCATTGGCCTGGGGAACAGGGACCATTAAGATCCACTCATGATTAGGTTTTCCCAGTTTGGCATTGAGTTCTAAGACACACACACACACACACACACACACACACACACACACACACACACACACGTTCTCATGTTTCTGTGTGTGTATGTGTGTGTGTATGTGTGTGCATGAATGTGAGTGCCTGTAGTAGGACTTGAACTCAGGGCCTTGTGTTTTTTCTTGGCTTTTTCACTCAAGGCTGGGGCTTCACTACTTGAGCTACACCTCCATTTCTGGCTTTTTGATGGTTAATTGGAGATAGGAGTTTCAGGGACTTTCCTTCCTGGGCTTTCTTGGAAACTTAATCCTTGGATCTCAGCTTCCTAAGTAGGATTTCAGATATTCAATATTATCTTCTCTCCTTTCCCCTTCCCACCCTTAGCTTCCATATGAGAAAGAACCTGTGACTCTGTGTGTGTGTGTGTGTGTGTGTTTGCCAGTCCTGGGGCTTGAACTCAGGGCCTGGGCACTGTCCCTGAGCTTCTTTTGCTCGAGGCTACCATTGGAGCCACAGTGCCACTTCCAGCTTTTTCTGTTTATGTGGTACCGAGGGATTGAACACAGGGCTTAATGTATGCTAGGCAAGTACTCTACCACTAAGCCACATTCCCAGCCCAAGCATTTGTGTTTTTATGTTGGGTTTATTCCACTTAACATAATGTCCTTTATTTTCATTTTGCTGCAAATGACAGGATTTTATTCTTCTTCTTTATGGCTGATTGTTTAATTGTATATACAATGCTTTCTTCTTTTTTTTTTTGGCAGCACTGGAGTTTAAATTCAGGGCCTCATGCATTCTAGGCTGGGTGGGACAGACACCTTTGAGCTGTGCTTCCAGTCCTAGTTTTCATTATTTTTAGAATAGGCTCTTACTCCCCCCAGGGTATGCCTGAGCTACTATCCAGCTATCATCTTGTGGACTTTTCTGTTCAGGCAGGTGTGGCTAGGATCTTCTCAAACTCAGACTCCCTCATAGTTTGGGATGGCAGACATGAACAACTGCACTATGAGTTGAGATGGAATAATGTGAACTTTTCTGTTCAACTTTGGTGGCTTCCAACTGCAATACTCTCATTCTCAGCCTCCCAAGTAGCTAGAATTACAGGAATTTGCCACTGGTGTCTGACTTTATACTACATTTTCTCTTTCTTTTCTTTTTTCCCTTCCTTCCTCCCTCGTTCCCTTCCTTCCCTTAATCCTTCCCTTCCTTCCTCTCCCCTTTCCCCTTTCTCCCTTCTATTTCCTTCCTTCAATCCTCTTTTTCTCTTTTTTCTTATTTCCTTCTTCTCCTTCACACCCCTCTTCCTCCCTCCCATTTTCTCTTTCCTTCCTGCCCTCCCTCACTTCCATTTTCTCTCCTTCTTTCCTCCCTCCTTCCCTCCCTTCCCTTCCTCTTTCACCTTCTTCACTCCCTCCCCTCCCTCCATCCCTCCCTCCCATCCCTCCTTGCTATCTTCCTTTCCCTTTTCCTCCCTCCCCCCTCCCCCTTCCCTTTTCTCTCCTCCCTTCCCTCTCTTTTCTTTTTTTCTAATTGTGGGCCTGAAATCTGGGCCTGGACACTGTCCCTCAGCTCTTCAACTCAAGGTGAGAGCTATACCACTTGAGCTACAGCCTTTTTCTGCTTATGTGGTGCTGAGGAATCGAACCCAGGGCCCTATGCATGCAAGGCAAGCACTCTACCACTGAGCCACCTTCCCAGCCCCAATTTCATTGTTCTTAATGGCTGAATGGACACTTAAAAGCTATTTCTTGGCTACTCTACCACTGTGTCATCTTCCCAGCCCTCCATCTCTCTTTCTTGTACTGTGTGTGTGTACTCATACATGTGCACACATGTATGCACGCACCTGTCCTGGGGCTTGAACTCAGGGCCTGAGCGCTGTCTCTTGGCTTTTGTGATCAAGGCTCTGCTCTTATCATTTGAGCCACAGGTACAATTCCAGTTTTTTTTGCTGGTTAATTGGATATAAGAACCTCATGGACTTTCCTGTTCCAGCTAGTTTTCAATTGTGATCCTCAGATCTCAGCTTCCTGAGTAGCTAGCATTAAAGGCTTGAGCCACTGGCACTGCACTAGTACTTGAGTTTGGACTCAGGGACTGGACATTGTCCCTGAGCATTTTGCTCAGGGCTAGCACTCTAAAACTTGAGCCACAGCTCCATTCCTGACCTTTTGGTGATTAATTGGAGATAAAATACTTATAACCTTTTCTCTCTGAGCTGGCTTTGAGCTATGATCCTAAGATCTCAGCCTCTTGAGTAGCTGAAATTATAGGCATGAGCCACCAGCACTTTGCTTTTTGAGAAAAGAATTTTTATATGTCATGTAAACATTAGTCGTTACATATATGATAATTCTGATGCCAGGGGTAACCAACAAAGAAAGCATTTTAGTTTAAAATTATAGCAAATGACTGCCCACCCTTTATTTCTATTTTCTCTATTTCCTATTACACTGAAATTCTAAAATTAAAATTTCCCCACCATCAAAGTAATTATCACAACACAGAGCAATGGCTGTATACACTATTTAGAAAAAATTACAGTGCAGGATATTGGTTTGTATTTTTATTATCTCATATAAGTGTAAGTAGACATGTCTTTAGATTTTTCCATTTTGTTTTTTAAAATAAAAATGTTCAAAATATCGTTGTCTTCTCAGAATTCTTGAGGTTTGGAATTGAAAAAATTAATCAGGAAATAGTGTCCATGAGAGGTGTGGTAGAGTGTTCTTTTTCTAACTTCATGAAATTTAAAAGATACCTATTTCCTCAAAAAATTCTCTTCTGTCACATGAATTTTTCAAATATTAAATGTTTGGTAAAAAAAAATTTAGAGTTTCGGCCAAATTAATGTTTCTTTTAAGTAATCCCTGAGGTTTATCAAACAATTTGTCTATTGATTATGATTTTTTGATCTTTCTATAATGGACAGAATGTAGAGAAATAAATTTAGCTTATCAAGAACTTTTGAATGGAAGCTGCAGACAAAAGGGCCAAAGCAGCAAATACTATCACAAGGATAAAAATAAATGATTCATCACTTAGCTCTATCCGGAGCTTATCATCTCTGCGGTCATTCCCTCCTCTTCCTCCTTTACTGTTTCTATGTGTTAAGAAAAGAGAGGTAGGGCTGAATGGTCCCCAGAGCTCTTGTTTGCCAGCAGAAGTTTTATATTGACGCCCGGCACAGACTTTGAACCGATAATTTGTATTTGTGACGAAATTTGAATAACTGAATGAAGTATTTGGTCCTTTGTATAGCTAAAAGGGAAAAAAAGAGAGTTAGATGCTGAGTATATTTTATTTTTTATTTTTGTTATTATTATTATTTGGCTGGTCCTGGAGCTTGAACTCAGGCCTGTGCACTGTTCCCTGAACCTTTTTGTGAGCCATAGCACCACTTCTGGCTTTTCTGAGTAATTTAATGGAGTCTCATGGGGACTTTTCTACCATGGATAGCTTCAAACCACAATCCTCAGATCTCAGCCTGGTGTGAGTAGTTAGGACTATAGGTGTGAGCCACCAGTGCCAATTAGAAAAATTATGGGCTAAGGAAGAGTATACCTGTTCAGTTCCTTTATCGGTAATAACTTGAAGGTTGTAAACAATAGGGTCTCCATTGATTGGCTCCAAAGACCCCCATTTTATCTCACAAGCATTGAATTTTAGTCGATGTATTCTCGGAGCTAGAAAAAGAGAATGTCACTTTAGAAGATTCCATTTTTCCTCAATATTTTTTTGTGCCTGTCCTGGGGCTTGAACTCAGGGTCTGGCACTGTCCCTGAGCTTTTGTGCTTAAGGTTAACACTCTACCATTTGAGCCACAACTTCACTTCTGGCTTTTTTGTGGTTAATTGGTGATCAGAGTCTCATGGACTGTCCTTCTTGGGCTGGCTTCAAAACATGATCCTCAGATTGCAGTCTCCTGAATAGCTAGGATTACAGGTGTTGAGCCACTGGTGCTCAAATGTATTTTATGTTACTTTTCAAAATAAGGAGAGTAAACTCAGAGCTTCAGAAATAAACTTCCTATATATATATTTATTTATGTTTAGCTTTAACTATGATATATTGTCTACAAATTGATTTATATGATAAATCATTTGAAAAATAAAATGAGAGGGCTGGGAAGGTGGCTCAGTGGTAGAGAGCTTGCCTTGCATGCCTGAGGTCCTGGGTTTGATTCCCCAGCACCACATAAGCAAAAAGAAAAACAAGCCGAAGTGGCGCTGTGGCTCAAGTGGTAGAGCGCTAGCCTTGAGCTGAAGAGCTGAGGGACAGCACCCAGGCCCAGAGTTCAGGCCCCACGACTGGACCCAAAAAAAAATAAATAAATAAAAATAAAATGAGACAGATAGCAGGGCATATATAACTATTAGAAAGTACAAGAAGCACTTTTAGGGGAATCAGTAGTCTGCAATTCTGATTGTGGCTGTAGCAACTGACTTAGAGGGTCCTGTCACTAAGTTAATTGCCATCTAGAAGTCTTAATTTTTTTTAGCCAGTCGTGGAGCTTAAACTCAGGGCTTAGACAAGATCCCTGAGCTTCTTTTGCTCAAGGGTATTACTCAACCATTTGAACCACTGCACCACTTCTGGCTTTTTCTGTTTATGTGGTACTGAGGAATTGAACCCAGGGCTTCATGTATGCCAGGCAAGCACTCTACCACTAAGCCACATTCCTAGCCCTTAGAAGTCTTCATTTTTTACTATTAAAATGGTATTGATGGTAGAGTGGTTGGCTGAATTGGGTGATTTCCAAGATATTTAAAAATATTGATTATAAGAGTCTCAAAAGATCTTAAGTTGAAATTTGAATCTATAATTCTTACCTCTTTTGGTATTACATTATTTATTGTTTTTGTAGTTCTAGTGTTTAACTCAGGGCTTAGCACTTGTTAGGCCAGCACTCTCCTATTTGAGCTAGAGCCCCAATCCTTTAGTCCATGTTTTGTTTTTGAGATAATGGTCTCACTAGCCTGAGCTGGCCTTGAGCCTCTGCCTCCTGAGTAGCTGATATAACAGGAATATACCACCACAAACTATTTTTTGTGTCTGTTGGTTCTGGGGTTTGAGCTCAGGGCCTGGAAGCTGTCCCTGAGCTTTCTTTGCTCAAGGCTAATGCTCTACCACTGAGCCATGCCCCCAATTTTGGCTTTTTTTGCTGTTGGAGTCTCACTAACTTTCTTGCCTGGAGTAGCTTTGAACTGTGATCCTCAGATCTCAACATCCTAAGTAGCTAGGATTATAGATGTGAGCTATTAGTGCCTGGCTCCCAACTTATTTTTAAAATTCTCCTTACTGCTGTTTTTTTTTTGTATGAGCTATTGGGACTCAAAGTAATACCAATATTATGGCTCATACTACTCACCTTGAAGTGCAGCTGGTGGGGTTTTTTTGGTAGTAAAAACATAGATATCAGATTCTGGTCCTTCACCAGCTTCATTACATGCCTGGATTTTAAATGAATATTCAGTACATTCAGTTAATCTCTGTACTCGGTGAGTCTGACAAGGCCCATGGTAAATGACAGAAAATCTAGGGGAGGGAATAGAGATGAGGAAAACAATATTACCAATCAACAATGATATATGTACAAATAGCAATTTTTTTGTTTTTGTTTTGCCAGTCCTGGGCACTGTCTCTGAGCTTCTTTTGCTCAAGACTAGCACTCTACCACTTGAGCCACAGTGCCACTTCAGGCTTTTTTTGTTTATGTGGTACTGGGGAATCAAACCCAGGGCTTCATGCATGCTAAGCAAGCACACTACCACTAAACCACATCCCCAGCCTATACAAATAGCATTTTATATAACTAACTAAAAGCTTATTTTAAAACTTCACTAAAATCACTTTAGCTGACTAAAGAAGTCAACTTAAAGCCAGAAAGGTAAGAGACAAAACCAAAAATAGCCAGGTGATAGATAATATAATGGCAAGGTTCTGGTTCACCCACCATAACCTCTATTTTCTGATGAATTGTGCTAGATAAATAAACAAGTGCATTGGAAGAGACAACAATAAACAGTTACAGCTATACTATGCTATTGTCTTTGGGTTGCTTTCACATGTAATTAATTCATTGAAACTACTTTGGAGTATAGGATTAAGACATAAAATCTTGGCTGGGTGAAGGTGGCTCACACGGGTAATCCTAGAAATGCAGGAGGACAAGATCTGAGGATTGTGGTTCAAAGCCAGCCCAGGATGGAAAGTTCATGAGACTTTTACCTCCAATTAACCAGCCAAAAACTAAAAAAATAAACAAGCAAAAATAAACAAGAGCTGGAAAGGTGGCTCAGTGGTAGAGTGCTTGCCTTGCATGCATGAGGCCTGGGTTCGATTCCTCAGCACCACATAAGCAGAGAAAGCTGGAAGTGGTGCTTTGGCTCTAGTGGTAGAGTGCTAGCCTTGAGCTCAAAAGCTGAGGGACAGTGCCCAGGCCGAGTTCGGGCCCCACGACGGACAAAAACAAAACAAAACAAAACAAACAAAAAACAGATGTGGAGCTGTGACTCAAGTGGTAGAGTGCTAGCCTTGAGCAAAAATCTATGAGACAGTGACCAAGCCCTGATTTTGAAGCCCCATCATGGTCAATAAAAATGAAAAAAAAAACCAACAAAAAAAGATATAAAATCTTAAATAATTTTATTATAATATATGCTAAAAAGTAAAAATAGTTTACCTATCAGATCGATCTTTCATGAACAAATTATAGCTTATAAGGCTGGAAAGTATTCTTCTGTTTGAATTGTTGCCCCATTTAAGTTTGAGGCTCTGGTGCCCCAAAATTGCACATTCGAGGGGTGGAGGGTTAAGTAGAAGCGGTTTGGTCTTGCTTCTTATTGGCTGACTAAAAGGGCTTAATCCATAATGATTGATAGCTTGAATTCGAATTCTAGTGGCAAAAAGAAAAATTAAAATACATTATTCTACATATAAATTAAATCTCTAGTAACTTTATAGAGCACCTTATCTATCATATTATACTAAATATTACAGATAAATTTTTGCAAGAAAAGTCTGTTCCCCATTGCTATTGACAAATATTGATAGGAAAAAGGCTCTTAGCAATTCCAAACTTTCCTATCCAGTAAACTCCTTTCAAAAGGAATACTATGTAGATTAAATAAAATATATGACTATATAGCTCAAATTTCTCAAAAGTAAAATTTAAGGGACTTACTTATACATGGTGTCTGGTTGTAGATTTTTCAGAATATACTCTGTTACAGTGTCAATAGTCATAATTCTCCTATCTCCATATTCAATATTGTACCCAGTTACTGGAGAACCATTACAAATTGGTTCCTCCCACTTAATAGCAAGGCAAGATGATGCTAAGTTTTCAGGAACTTTGTCTGGAACTTCTTGTAAATTTTGTACTATTGAGGGTACAGTTGCTGGTGTGGTTATAGTAGCAGTTTCTCCAAACTGTCCCACTCCAATGACATTTACAGCCTGGAAAAGATATATTTTGTTAGAGATTATTACTTTATTTTAGCACATAGCCAGGCAGTTTCATAATAAAACAAAATTTCATCAAGTCAAACTCTTAATAGTATGGTTTTAAGTTGCTGAAATTAAGAAAAATTTTAGGTTGTATCTGTAGGAAGAAGATAAGTGAACATAAAGAGTATGAAAATGGATAGCTGAAACAAAAGCAAAGCAAAGCAAAGCAAAACAACAGTTTAAAAAAACCCAACAAGATCCAGCTATAGGTTACTTACAAGAAACTCATTTTACTATAATAGCATGCATAGACTGAAAAAGAAGGAATTGACAAATATATTCCATGCAAATGGATCTGAAATAAAGCAGTAGCTGTACTTGTATCAGAAAAAATAGCTTGCTCATCAGAATCAGTAAGAAGAGACAAAGAAACTCATCATATAAGGATACTAAGTGGGTCAGTTCAGCAAGAGGAAATAATTATACATGGATAAATCTACCCAATTTTAAGAGCATCCACATATATAGAACAAATATATCTCCAAAAGGAGAACTACTCAAAACAATAGTTGGAGACTTTAACACCTCATTTTAAAAGGGAATCACCTAGAAAATCAACAGAGTTAAATTGCGTCCTAGAGCACATGAGCCTAACAGACACCTACAGCATATTTTATTTAAAGATGGAAGAATATACATTCTTCCCAGCAGCATGTGGAACATTCTCAAGTATAGATCTTATATCAGACTATAAAATGTGTCAAGTTGGGTGCGAGTAGTTCACACCTGTAATTCTAGCTACTCAGGAGGCTGAGATATGAGGATCGTGGTTCAAAGCTAGCACAGGCAGGAGAATCTGTAAGGCTCTTATCTCCAATTAACTACCAAAAAAAAATCTGGAAATGGAGCAGTGGTTCAAGTGGTAGAGCACTAGTCTTGAGTAAGAAAAGCTTAGCGATAGTACCCAGACCCTGAATTCAAGCCTTAGGAATGATGCGCGCGCGCACACGCGCGCGCGTACACACACACACACACACACACACACACACACACACACACAGCCCAGAATACTTTTTTTTAATTGTTCTTCTTGATCACAGTCCAATGAAAGCTAGAAATTACTAACAAGAAAAACATCATAAATGATTTGAGTACATGGAAAGTAAACAACTTAATCTTGAAGTAGCAATAGGTGAAGGCAGAAATCAGGAAGAAAATTTAAGTTTCTCTTGAAACAAAAATGGAAAAGACAGGACCCTTGTAACAGAAAAAGCAATACAAAAAGGGAGATTTATAGCCATCAATACATAAAATTTTCTCTTGTATCACAATGAGGTAGGAAAATGAGTATGAAATGAAAAATTAGAAGAAAAAAGGAGATCAAATAAGAAAGAAATGAAATGGAGACCAAGAACATGACACAAAGAATGGTAAAACGCAGAGCTTGTTCTTCAAAAAGATAAACATGATAGAACAACTTTTAGCTAGACTAAGGAAAAGACAAGAATCAAAGAAAGTAGACTGACACCACAGAAATATAAACTACCATTAGAGATTATTATGAATCCCTACGTATCAATATATTTGATAACCTAGAAAAAAATGGACAAATTCCTAGATACTTGTACCTTACCAAGATTTTTTTCTTGGTGCTGGAAGTAGAACCCATACTTTATAAAGACTGAATCATGAGCAGGGCACAAGTAGCTTACACCTGTAATCGTAGTTACTCAACAGGCGCAGAAGTTTGCAGTTCCAAGCCAGCCCAGGCAGAAAAATCTGTGTCTCTATCCTTAAAATAATCAGCAAAATGCTGGCTTGAGTTGTGTCTCAAAAGACACAACACCAGCCGAGCAAGCAAACCAAGTGAGTATGAGACCCTGAGTTCAAACCTAGTACCACCAGAAAAAGAAAAAGATTGAATTATGAATAGAAAAGCTGAACCAGTAATGATAAACTGAAAGAATGACTAAATAATAAAAACATCTCTGAACAAAGGGAAACCCAGGATTCCCTTTAAATACCACCAAACATTTAAGAAAGATCTAATATCAATTTCCTTAAAGTTACTGTAAAAAATAAAATAGGAAGGATTCTTCCAAACATATTTTTTTTGAGGATAGCCCTATCTGGATATCAAAACTAGGGAAGGACAGAACGATGATAGCAAACTCCAGGCCAATATCCTTCATGAACCCAGATGCAAAAATCCTCTACAAAATACTAGCAAACTGTTGGGTGTTGGTAGCTCAGCCTATAATTCTAGCTACTCAGGACATTGAGATCTGAGGATCATAATTTGAATCCAGCCTGGGCAGGAAAGTCTGTGAGACTCTTACCTTTTTATTTTTTGGGTCCGGTCGTGGGGCCTGAACTCTGAGCCTGGGTGCTATCCCTTAGCTCTTCAGCTCAAGGCTAGCGCTCTACCACTTGAGCCACAGTGCCACTTCTGGCTTTTTTTTTCTTTTTGCTTATGTGGTGCTTAGGAATCAAACCCAGGGCCTCATGCATGCAAGGCAAGTGCTCTACCACTGAGCCACCTTCCCAGCCCGAGACTCTTATCTTTAATTAACCACTGAAAGCCAGAAGTAGATATGTGGTTCAAGTGGTAGACCACCAGCCTTGAGCAAAAAAAAGCCAAGCGAGTTCAAGGCCCAATATTAGCACCAAAACCTCCCCAAAAACCCAAAATAAAAAACAACAAACCCTGAACAAAGGAGGCCTAGAGGGAATGTACCTCAACATTGAATAACAAATGTACAATGAAGCAACAGGTAACATGCTAACTAGGGAAAATTAAAGTTATCTCTGTAAGATCTAGCATAAGACAAGAATGTTATTTTCATCACTAATATAGTGCTAAAGTTCTGGAAAAAGCAATCAGGTAAGAAAAGGAAAGAGAGGACATTCTAATTGGAAAAGACCTTGTCAAATTGTCAGTTTGGAGATAACATGAACTTTTACATGGAGTTCCCTAAGATGCCATAAGAAACTATTACAACTAATAAATGAATTTAACAAAGTTGTATAAAAGAAAATAGACATACAAAAATGAATATTGCTGCATGCCAATAACCAATTACTTGGAATAGAAATCAAGAAAGCTATTTCATAGCTTCAAAGTTACCTAGAAATAAATTTAAGTATAGGTGAGAGATTTCTTCAGTGAAAGTTATAAAACGTTGTTTAAAGAAGTTGACGAGGGGGGGCTGGGAAGGTGGCTCAGTGGTAGAGTGCTTGCCTTGCATGCATGAGGCCCTGGGTTCAATTCCTCAGCACCACATAAGCAAAAAGAAAAAAAAGCCAGAAGTGGCCCTGTGGCTCAAGTGGTAGAGTGCTAGCCTTGAGCCTAAGAGCTGAGGGACAGCGCCCAGGCCCAGAGTTCAGGCCCCACGACCGGACCCCCCCCCTAAAAAAAAAAAGAAGTTGACGAGGGGGCTGGGAAGGTGGCTCAGTGGTACAGCGCTTGCCTTGCATGCATGAGGCCCTGGGTTCGATTCCTCAGCACCACATAAGCAGAAAAAAAGCCGGAAGTGGCGCTGTGGCTCAAGTGGTAGAGCGCTAGCCTTGAGCTGAAGAGCTGAGGGACACCGCCCAGGCCTAGAGTTCGGGCCCACGACTGGACCCCCCTCCACCCCCCCCCCAAAAAAAAGAAGTTGAAGAGGGCCGGGTGCTGGTGGCTCATGCCTATAAACCGAGCTACTTAGGAGGCTGAGATCTGAGGATCGCGGTTCAAAGCCAGCCGGGCAGTAAAGTCTGTGAAACTCATCTCTAATGCACCACTCAGAAAACCGGAAGTGGCGCTGTGGCTCAAGCGGTAGAGAGCTCGCCTTGAGCTGAAAAGCTGAGGGACAGCGCCCAAGCCCAGAGTTCAAGCCCCACGACTGACAACAACAACAAAAAAATAAGTTGAAGAGGACACAAGAAACTAGAAAGACAATCTGTATTCATGAATTGGAAGAGACAATATTGTTAAAATATCACCCTACTTGAAGTGATTTATAGATCAATGCAAACTCTATCAAAATACCAGTAATATTCTTCATAGAACAAGGAAACACCTCAAAGCCTCTGCATATACATTTTGAGCCAAAAAACAAATCAAGAAGACATTATAATATCTGACTTCAAAATATACTACAAAACTATAGTAATCACAACAGCAACACGTTGGCATCAATACAAATATATAGACTAATGAAACAGGTTAGATCACTACAAGAAACTACTATCTATAGCCAACTGATTTTTGACAAAGGTGATAACTACAGGTGTTGGAGAAGGGACTGTCTTTTCAGTAAGTGGTGCTTGGAAAATTACTGCCAGTAAAAAGACAACATCATAAAAATCAACTCAAGGCCAGGTGCTGGTGGCTCCCTCCTGTAATCCTACCTGCTCAGAAGGCTGAGATCGTAGGATTATGGTTCAGAGCCAGCCTGGGAAGGGAAGTCTGTGAGACTTCCTACTAGCTGCCAAAAAGCTGGAAGTAGAGCTGTGGCTCAAGTGTTAGAGCATTAACCTTGAACAACATTGTTCAGGGACAGTGCCCAGGCCCTGAGTTCAAACTCCAGGACTGTGAAAAGGCAAGTGAATATACTTAATTGAAGTACTAAAGCAAACATTTAAGGGCATCCTAGGGACCAAACACCCAGCTGGTGTTCACTGTAGGCTTCACAGGGTTGGGAATAGGGTGAGGGAAAGCTCACAAACTTGACTTGGAAGTAATGCTTGGGTAAACTTGAATAGCTGTTGAAAGGGAGTTGAAAAACACTGGAAGCAAGGAAGAAAATGAACAGAGAAATTGATCAAGAATACCAAATGAAGATAATGAACCAGTACTGTCAGGCTCAAATGTAGTCAGATTGCTCAAGATCATCATCATGAGAACCAATTAGTCTTATGGAGGAGGATAGCCTCAATCCTTTATCTCTATAAAAAAAGGAGAAGAGGATCATGATGAAGAAGATGAAGATCCTATTTTATAACCCAGGCAGGCTTTGAGCTTGGAATTTTCCTGCCTCATCCTCTTTCATTCAGTGATTACTGGTGGCTGTTTTATTTTCTTTTCTCCTTGTGGTGCTGGGGATTGAACCCATGGCCTTATGCATGTTAAGCAACTGGGCTACATCTCTAGCCCTTACTTTAATTTTTTGTGTATATTTTTATTGTAAAAATACTGTACAGAAGGGTTACAGTTACATGAGTAGGGTAATGAGCACATTTCCTATTGAGCATTCTTACCTCCTCCTTTGTTTATCCACTAAGATAAGATCCCTTCCCTCGCACCTCCCCAACTCCTTCCTCCCCCTCCCCCTCCCCCTTGCTGTAAAGTTTGTTTCAACATAGTGTCTTGTATATCTCGTTACAATGGGTCAACTTATATCCTTATTTCAGCATTTTGTTATTTTACTTCTCCTCCCCAAATCAGAAAACTGTATATACAAGATTCAGGGCACCAGAATCAAATACAGTGAAAACAGGGGTTATACCATGGGGGAAGAACATACAAAAGAAACAAAAAAAAATCACGTGGTACATTATAAGCACATTAAAAACAACAGCAAGAAACATAAAATCACTATCTTGGGCTTCATTTCGCTTAGCATCATCTTATATGGTCATATGTACATAGCTTTTGACCTTTTCTGCTTGTCCTAGACATATACTAGTTATTGCAAATAAGGGAAACCATGGGACCTACGTTTCTTGGGGCCTGGAAAGGCTATACTAAAGCTACCAGCACAAATATGTTTATCACAGCATTATTTACCATAGCTAAGATATGGAACCAACCCAGATGCCCCTCAGTAGATGAATGGATCAAGAAAATGTGATATATATATATATATATATATACATATATATATATATATACATATATATAATGGAATTCTATGCCTCCATCAGAAAGAATGACACTGTCCCATTTGTTAGGAAATGGAAAGACTTGGAAAAAATTATATTAGCCCTTACTTTCAAAAACACACATTTAACTTTGGTTACTGGTTAATAGTTTGGATTAGTTGTTACTGTTTTATACTGAAAAAATTATTGTGCATCTTAATTTTGCTGACAACCTTGCTTTTTACTATTCTTGTTTTATTCAATTTTACTTATGTATAATTTTAATAAATTTGTTCATTTTACTGATAGTATTGGGGTTGAACTCAGGGCATTGAGCTTGTTCAGCTGGTGCTTTATCTCTTGAGCCACACCTCCAGCTCTGCTTTTGGCTTGGTTATTTTGGAGATGGAGTCCAGCAGACTTTTCTGTCTGGGCTGGCCTGGAACTCATCTTCTGGATTTTGGCCTCCTGAGTAGCTAAGAATATAGATGTGTGCCACCAGCATCTAGCTAAATTTGTTCTTTTTTTTTTTGGGGTCCTGTCGTGGGGCCTGAACTCTGGGCCTGGGCGCTGTCCTTCAGCTCTTCAGCTCAAGACTAGCGCTCTACCACTTGAGCCACAGCGCCACTTCCGGCTTTTTTCTTTTTGCTTATGGGGTGCTGAGGAATCGAACCCAGGGTCTCAGGCATGCAAGGCAAGCGCTCTACCACTGAGCCACCTTCCCAGCCCCCTAAATTTGTTCTTTAAAGAAAAAAATTGGCCAGGTGCCAGTGGCGCACGCCTATAATCTTAGCTACTCAGGAGGCTGAGAGTCAGAGAACTATAGTTCAAAGCTAGCCAAGGCAGAAAAGATTGATGGGCTATAGAAGTGTGGCTCAAGTGGTAGAGGGCCAGCCATGAGCAAGAAAGCCCACCAAGAGTATGAGGCCTTGAATTAAAGTCCCAGTACACACACACACACACACACACACACACACACACACACGAAAAATGAGTCAAGCATATACAATTCTGTGCATCTTGAGTATGTGTAATGTTTCCTCAATGGAGGTCTCCTTAGAACCACATAGTCCAGTATAACAAGGGACTGTTGTATACTGCAGTACTATTCATAGTAGTCAAGAAATAGAAACAGCTCACTGGACAATCATGGGTGGAGATGGAAGGGAGGGACTGGAAGAGAGTAAGGAAAATTAAGACACTGTATGAAAAGAAATGTACTCATTATCTGACATGTATTTGTACATGTATTACATGTATTTGTAATCCCTCTGTATATCACCTTTATAATAACAATAAATAATATTAAAAATAAAAAAACCAAAAAACCTCAGGAATTGAATAGCCCTAGTATAATAAGAAATAGAAACAACCTGTGTGTCCATAAACTCATGAATGGATAGAGAAAATGTAGTACATACTCACTACAGGATGCTAGTTTTAGCCATAAAAAGATACCAGCACCAATGGCTCACACCTGTAATCCTAGCTACTCAGGAGGCTGAGATCTGAGGATTGTGGTTTGAAGTCAGCCCAGGAAGGGAAGTGAGATTGTTATCACCAATAAACTATCAAAAAAGCTAGAAGTGGAACTGTTGCTAAAGTGGTAAAGTGCTAGCCTTGAGCAAAAAGTTCAGGGACAGCACCTAGGCCTTGAGTTCAAGCCCCAGGACTGGCACAAAAAAAAGTCTTGTCAATTCTAACAATTATAGATGGAAGTGGGAATCATTATTGTAACTGAAATTAGCTAGGCAAAGAAAGACACACATCTCACACACATGATCTCACTCATATGTGGGATCTAAAATGCTAATCTCTTAGAAATTAAGGGTTAGAATAGTAGTTAGGACATGATAGGCATTCTCAGAGATGGAGCTTAGACTTTATAATTCACAATCCTCCAGCCTCTGCCACCAGAGTGCCAGACTTACAGGTTTGCATGTCTGTACTCAGATTTGTGCTTTTGTTGGTCAGTGCTGAGGATTAAACCCAGGACTCTTTTACATGCTACCACTGAGGTATACCCCCAGATCCTCCTGGAATATTTTGAATTGCTTAAACTTTATAGGGAGTACATGTCACATTACTTCAAATTTGGACTGTTTCTCAAAAATTTTAAGTTGATGTATGTTGGAATTCTGGTTGATCATAAGAAGAAGAAATCATTTTCAGGGGAAAGATGTATGCAAGAGCTAGGGTTTTAGGGTTTGAAAGACAAGACAGGCGATAGCACAGTATGGAAAGATATGCAAGGCACACTGAAGGCATGGAATATTCACTGACTTTGAAGGAGTTTATAGAGTTTTGTTCAATGATAACTGTAGCGAGTGCTTGTTAAATATAGCAATTAGCAAGATTTCTGGATTAGCAATTTTGATTCAATAGATCTGGATGCTGGTGTGGGAATTACTGTTTTTGACAAGTGATTTCAAATGATTGCTAAGTTCAGAGAAATTTGAATACTGAATTTGAATAGGAACTGTGATAGCTCAGGTTGGGATGGGAAGTTCAGTGGGGCTTTAAATGCCACAAGAAGGAGCTCAGATTGTTATCACTCTGAGTAATATTTATGATGTAGAAGTCCCTCCCTTTTGGATTCTCCTCTAGTCTCTCCACTGGAAATGCTGCAAGTGTTCTCTATATGGAGCGTGTAGAATACTAGCAATTGTCCTGTTTACATAAGAGGAAGTATTAGCTTTACCTGAACTCTGCAAAAATATGTGGTTGCAGGAATGAGACTTTTTACTTCATATCGCAGACAAATGCCAGTATAAATCAATTGCATAGATTCTTCAGTTTGTCCCAATTCTACTTTGTAATCAGTGATTTCAGCACCATTACATTCAGGAACCTGAAAGATTCAATAAACACAGAAATTTAATTATTTAAGTGCTCATTATATTAGACACTGTGGAGAGTCACAACAGGATTTGGTTATGAAATCTTATAATCAATCAATGATGTGTGATAGGGACACATGTTAACACAGACAGGACACTAATTAGCATTAAAGGTTCAAGTAAAATTAAGAAAAAGTATTTGCTATTTGCCCACATATTAGAAAGATGCTTTTTTGTTTTTTTATTTTATTTATTTATTTTTACCAATACCAAGGTTTGAACTTAGGGCATCATGTGCTTGCTCGGCTTTTTCACTCAAGGATGGTGCTCTACCACTTGAGTCACATCTCCAATCTGGCTTTTTACTGGTTACTTTGGATAGAATTCTCTAGGATTTTTCTGCCTTATACATCAGTCCTCCAGATTTCAGCCTCCTGAGTAGCTAGGATTACAGATGTGCAGCACTGGCACCTGGCTTAGATGAAAACCTTTTCAAAATGTATTAAAGTTGGGTGTCAGTGGCTCTTGCCTGTAATCCTACCTACTCAGTGTGCTGAGATCTGAGGATTACAGTTTGAGGCCAGCCCAGGCAAAAAAGTCTGTGAGACTCATTTCCAATTGATCTGCAAGAAGTCAGAAATGGAGCTGTGTCTCAAGTGATAAGAGTGCTAGCATTGAGCAAAAAAAATCTCAGGGACAGCGCCTAGGCCCTCAGTTCAAACTCTAAGACCTGAACAAAAAAGTATTAAAATTACTTTTAAATAGGCATTTTTTAGTGAGCAAACAGAAAAGTCCATTTTGTTTAATATTACTATAGATTAGTATGATCAAACAAAGCCTTGATACTCTCTGGCCTTTATATAATGAAGCGACTAGCTCTGTCATCTCTTTGCTAATAGCTAAGACTTGTGTCGTGACAATTTCTTTGCATAAGTCCACATAAAAAGGGAAGAAAAATTCTAATATACTAGGTGGCTAAATAGTTGGACTAGTTCTCATTTTTTTGTGCCAGTCTTGTGCTCAAAGCTAGCAGCACCATACCACTTGTGTCACAGCTCCACTTCCATTTTTTTTGTGTGAAAAGCTGGACATAATAATCTTTTTTTTTTCTGGTGGTCCTGGAGCTTGAACTCAGAGCCAAGGCACTGTCCTTGAGCCTCTCTGTGCTCAAGGCTAGCGCTCTACCACTTGAGCAGCTCCACTTCTGTTTTTTTTTCTTCTGTTTATGTAGTGCTGAGGAATCGAACCCAGGGCTTCATGCATGCTAGGCAAGCATTCTAACACTAAGCCACACTACCGGCTGAGATAATAGTTTTGTAGGCATTCCTGCCCAAGCTGGCTTTGAACTGAGTTCCTCAGATCTTAGCCTCTTGAGTAGCTAGGATTAGAGTCGTGAGCCACTTGTGACAGTTCTCATTTTTTAGCTTAATTAGTTTGAATGGGAAAATAGTCACATGGATGTAAAAAGTTTGCTTTTTAAGGGTTAGTACCTATGCCACATTTTCTTGATCCATTCATCTGCTGAGGGGAATCAGAAAGAATAACATTGCCCCATTTGTTAGGAAATAGAAAGACTTGGAAAAATTGTATTAAGTGAAGTAAGCCAGGCTCAAAAAACATAGGTCTCATGGTTTCCCTTATTTGCAATAACTAGTATATGTCTGAGACAAGCAGAAAAGTTCAGATAAGTTGATGTTAGGCAAAATGAGCCCCAAGATAAGGACTTGAATGGTTTTTCTTTCTTGCTATTGTTTCTAACATATTTATAAGGTGATTTTTTTGTTGCTTTGTATGTCCCTCCCCCACGGTATAACTCCTGTTTTCACTGTATTTGATGTTGGTATAATTTGGGAAGGGGAAGGGAAAAAATAGGGATACAGGTGGACCCATTGCAACAATGAAATGTACAAAATGCTATGTTGAAAAAAGAACTTTACAACTTTGGCAGGGGTGGGGGAGGCGGGGATGGGAAGGGGAAACAAAAGAGGAGCAACAATGCTTGATAAGAAATGTACTCATTACCTTGCTCATGTAATTGTAACCCCTCTGTATGGTATTTTCACAGTAAAAAAATGTATTAATAAAAAAGGGTTAGTACCTTATAGTCATAATCTTATGTGCCATATTGCAATTACATGCAAAGAAACAGCAGAGGTTTCCTAATGAAGCTCTTTAAATAATACTAAATTCTGGACTGAGTGTCTAGCTCTGTGGTAGTGTACTTACTTAGTATGTCTCAAGGTTTGTAGATTTCATATCATAATCTATTATTTAATCTACTGGTGATCGATTCAGGCTTCGAAATGTATTATTTTCCTCAAATATAGGATGTAGAGAGCAAGATTATTACAGTAGTCTTCATAATACCATTGGCATCAGTTTCTAAATGTGTTCTAGAAACTATAGACCAGATTTGTGGGACCCTAATTCTACTCTCTGACTCCTTGAGAATTTCTAGTCCTCAAAATGTTCTACACCATTAATATGTTCCCTTTTTTCCCAGAGGAGTTACACCATTGAAATTCAGGGGATATAGCATCCTTTAGTCCATTTGTTTGTATGTGTAATGTACATACCCCCATGTATGTTTCTGTGCTGTGCTCTTATGTCTGCAAAAGTAATGAAAGTAAACTGATAACTTACTGTCCAGCTAACTACAATACAGGTTGGACCCTTGCAGGTCAGCACAGGTGCACTACACTGTGCGGGAGGACGTGGGACTGATGCACTTTCACATGGTACAGGATGGGATCCAAGCTGCAAGTAAATAAACAAGCAAGCAAAAATAAGCAAACATGGAAATGATTTTGTAGAAGGGGTTACCCTACCCCGACAAGAACTGCCATTGAAGCACATATTCATACAAAATGAAATAAAGTATACATAGGCCAAGCAAAGAGTGTAATTCTTCTCCTCCATTTGTTGCTGTTAGCTGGAAACTTATATTCTTCAGGAATTAATTTACTCACTGTGTCTGCATGTTCAGGGCCAAAATCTTGGTTATTTTCTGTGTTTCTGATAAGCATAGGTGCTTCAGAATTGTCAGTAGCAGGAGGATTAGCTATAAAATGGACAAAATCAACTTATTTTTACAAATAGTTTTTTCTTTCTTTGTGCTAGGGATGGAACTCTGGGTCTTGTGCATAACCTTTACGACTGAGCTACACTTCAGCCCTTACAAGTAGTTTTAAGCGTAATTCCTTTAAAACAATACGCAATGACTTGTGTATTTTCAAATGCTTAAAGTCTGGCAGGGGCATGGCTCAAGTGGTAGAGCACCTGACTAGCAAGCCCGAAGTTCTGAGATTAAACCCATAAAACAAAACAAAAACAAAACTCCAAAAACAAAAGTCTAAACAAAAAATATCTTAAAATGCTCAATGATGTAGCAGAAGACTCAAAAAATTGTGCAATTTAACATCTTAGTTTGATGTACAGACATTAAAAAACTGGGGCTTGCAATTACTAAGAATTAAATTGCTAATCTATGTTTGAGTTTGTACCAAAAGGAAACATTTGTTCCCATTGTGCCAGTACTGGGGTTTAAACTCAGGGATCTTTAGCCTTTTTTTTTTTTAAAAGTCTAGCACTCTACAACTTGAGTCACAGCTCCATTTTTGGCTTTTTGTAATTAACTGCAGTTTGGACTTTTTTGCCCAAGCTGGCTTTGAACTGATACTCTCAGACCTTAGCCTCCTGAGTAGCTAGGATTACATGTATGAGCTACCAGTGCTTGGCTTGCTTCAATAACTTAAAAATGTTTTAAAATTAACATATATTAGCTAAACGATAACTGTTTTACTGTAGCATTTCCATGCATAGTAATATTTACTATGTAAAAATAATAACAAGTTATAGAGCAGAAAGTTTAGGTAAGACTGAAATAATGCAAGGCAATCTCACCACATCGAGAGCTTGTTTCTTTGGACTTCTTTTTATGATTTGAAGATTGAGTACGGTTCGAGGGAGCAAGCGCAGGTGTTTGAACAGTCAATTCATCTGAAGGCTAAGAGAAATACAAAAGAACTTATGATTATACTACATTCAAGGTTAGTTTTGTAAAACATTTAGCATATAATACAATTCAGTTCAATCTTCAATTTAAAACCTTTTTCTTCTCTCTTTCCTCACCTGGCTATGTCCTACAGGTGAAGTGCAAAATACTCTCAGTTTATATATCCTATCAGGTTGCAGATGATCACATAAAAATTCCCGAATGGAGCCACTGTAGATTATATTCCAAACATTTTCTGAGTGAAAAAGAACAGTTATCCAATTTATTTATAGGCTACTTATAGACCTTTTGTGTTCCCATTATAGCTCACATATATACTAGGAAATAAACACTTTGGAAATTAACTTTGTTCCAATTCTCTAGTTATAATAGCTAATTATGGAAATCCCAATAGAAGTAACCATGAGCACACTAGACATCAGTAAAGAATGATTTGTTTCCCAAAAAATCCCCCAAAACAAACACAAAAAAAACCCTAGAGAGCCGGGTGCCAGTGGCTCACACCTGTAATCTTATCTACTCAGGAGGCTGCGATCTGAGGATCCTGGTTCAAAGCCAGCCTGGGTAGGAAAGTCTGTGAAACTCTTATCTCCAATTAACCACCAGAAAACTGGAAGTGGCGCTGTGGCTCAAGTGGTAGAGCGCTAGCATTGAGCTGAAGAGCTGAGGGACAGCTCCCTGGCCGAGTTCAAGCCCCATGACCGACCAAAAAATAAAAACCAAAACAAAGAATCTCCCTCCTCGCCCAAAACAAACCCCAAACCCCTAGAAAAATCTGAGTAGGTTTAGTTAACAGGAGTTTAGTAATACTAATTTCCACGTCTTGATAATTGCATTCTGCTTAGATATTAATCTTAGGAGAAACTGAATAAAACCTTCACATGGGATCTTTATATATTATTTTTGCAACTTCTGGGTGAGTCTAAAATTATGTCTAAGTGAAATAAAAAAAATCACAATACCTAAGAGGGTACTGGTGGCTCATGCCTGTATTCCTAGCTACTCAGAAGTCTGAGACTTAGGAGGACTGTTGTTGAAAGTCAGCCCAGGCAGAAAAGTTGGTGACTCCATATCCAGTTTACCAGCAAAGAGCTAGGCTGGAGGTGTGGCTTAAGTGGTAGATCACCAGCCATGAACATGTACTCCGAGCAAGAGTGAAAGAGTCAAGCCAAGGTACTGGCAAAGACAATAAGCAAACAAAAAAATCAGGATGTCTTACCATGTGCATTGTCATTAACTTCTAAAGTATAACTTAAAATGTGTGCTCCACCATTATCTTTAGGCGATTCTGAAAAGAAAAATAAAATTAAAATGTGTCTTCAATTTCACTGGAATATTCTCTAAGTTACAAATTTTCACAGAGAAAAATATGAACATAAAATATATTAGCATATTACTATATAGATATTAAGACCATTAAATACAATGCAGGTTACATGCTTTGAATATTGAACATGAGGCATTTAAATATTTGCAAGTTACTTGGAAAGAGACTTAAATGCTAAATGTAGGTGTGATAAAATGCGTTTCTCTACTTTACATTTGCATAAATATAATTTCTTGTCAAGCTGACAGTTATCATTGGTGTGGCTTGTTAATTATAGTCTCTGTATTATATGTAATTTTACCTGAAATAAAGTTTCCCCACATAAAGTTCAGTAAGAGGTTTGCATGTAAATTACTGAGCTAGTAGCCACAGAAAATTCAATGAAGAACTAGAGAAAATAATATGGTTTACAACTACTTTCATTTTTATGGCAGGGTATTTCATATACAAATGATTAAGGAAATATTTTTTTATTGTGAAATTACTGTACAGAGGGGTTACAATTACATGGGCAAGATAATGAGTACATTTCTTATCAAGCATTGTAGCCTCCTCTTTTGTTTCCCCTTCCCATCCCTTCTTATCCTCCCCCCGCCCCCCAAATCCTCCCCGCTCCCACCCAATCCTCCCCACAACCCCCCCCCCCCCACCAAAGTTGTAAAGTTCATTTTCGGCATAACGACTTGTACATCTCATTGTTGCAATGGGTCCACCTGTATCCCTATTTAAACGATTTGTTTTTCCCCTTCCCCTCCACAAATTATACCGACATCAAATACAGTGAAAGCAGGGGTTATACTGTGGGGGAGGGACATACAAAGCAACAAAGAAATAATCTTATAAATGTGTTAGAAACAATTGCATGAAAGAAAATAAACATTTGAATACATATCTTAGGGTTCATTTCCCTAACATCACCTTATCTGACCTTTTCTGCTTGACTCAGACATATACTAGATATTGCAAATAAGGGAAACCATGGGACTTATGTTTCTTTAGGCCTGGCTTACTTCACTTCATATAATTTTTTCCAAGTCTTTCCATTTCCTAACAAATGGGGCAATGTCATTCTTTCTGATGGAGGCATAGAATTCCATTGTGTATATATACCACATTTTCTTGATCCATTCATCTACTGAGGGGCATCTGGGTTGGTTCCATATCTTAGCTATAGTAAATAGTGCTGCAATAAACATAGTTGTGCTGGTAGCTTTAGTGTGGTCTTGTTTGTAAACATTTGGGTAAATGCCCAAAAGTGGGATTGCTGGGTCATAGGGGAGCTCTATGTGGAATCTTTTGAGGAACCTTCATACTACTTTCCAAAGTGGTTGAACAAGTTTACACTCCCACCAACAATGCGGTTAAGGAAATATTTTGTGTGCTAGTACTGAAACTCGAACTCAGGGTCCTCACACTTTGGCTTGGGTTTTATTTTCTGGTCCTGGGGCTTGAACTAAGGGTCTGGGCAACTGTGCCTGAGCCTGTTTGTGCTCAGGGCTAGTGCTCTACCACTTCAGCTACAGCGTCACTTCTGGCTTTTTCTGAGTAGTTTATTGGAAATAAGAGTCTCACAGACTTTTTGCCCAGTCTGACTTCAAACCATGATCCTTAGATCTCAGCTTCTTGAGTTGCTAGGATTACAGGTGTGAGCCACCAGCACCGCGTGTAGCTTGGCTTTTTTACTGAAGGTTAGCACTCTCTCACTTGAACCACACCCTACTTTCTATTAAGAGAATATTTCCTCTGTGTGTGTGTGTGTGTGTGTGTGTGTGTGTGTGTGTGTGTGTGTGTGTGTGTGTGTGTGTGTGTGTGTGTGTGTGTGTGTGTGTGTGTGTGGCGGCTAGTCCTAGGGCTTGAACTCAGGGTTTGGATATTGTTCCTAAGATTTTTAGCCTGAGGCTAGTGCTCTACCATTTGAGCCCCAGCTCCACTTTTAGCTTTTTGCTGGTTAGTAAGAGTCTCATAAACTTTCCTGCCCAGGCTGGTTTCAAACCTTGATCCTCATATCTCAGCCTCCTGAGTAGCTAGAGTTACAGGTATAAGCCACTGACACTTGACTAAAAGAATATTCTCTAAACCTTAGGGAAATCTGAGAAACATTTTTTGTCAGTAGTTAATATTAATATGGAGGTAGCAAAGCATTTAAATAATAGAATATCACTTACGCCACCCAATTTTCACTTTGTGTGCATGAATCTTTCCTTTTACGTATGGCTGTGTTGGAGCTCCAGGCTTGTCCGGACAGGTAGTATATTTTACTTCATTACTGGGATTACTTCGTCCTTCCATATTATAGGAAAAAATCTGTTTGAATGAAACAAGATACTTCACTGACTATGGGAACTGACAATTACACATTTGATAATGTGTAGTTTGCAATATAAAGCAAGTTCTTTGAGTGAGAACCTCTGTGAACTAAATGCAAAATAAGGCTTAATTTCAAAGGAAAATATTTTTTAGCCAGTCATGGGGCTTGAACTCTGGGCCTAGGCACTGTCCCTCATCTCAAGGTGAGAGCTCTACCACTCGAGCCATAGTGCCACTTCTGGTTTTCTGGTGGTTTATTGGCGATAAGAGTCTCATAGACTTTCCTGCCCGGGCTGGCTTTGAACTGTGATCCTCAGATTTCAGCCTCGAGTAGCTAGGATTATAGGTGTGAGCTACCGGTACCCAGCAAGAAAACATTTTTTTTTCTCCAGCAGAGTATAATTTTATTTGAAAACGTGACACAAATGTATAAATGATAGCTACATACCCTAAACTTGTATGTAGTACTTCGTTGTAGATTTGTTATAGTACATGAGAAGTCTTCACCATTGTATGTAGGTTTAAAACCTAATCCCTGGAAATGACAACAAATTCAGGAGTCAGTCAGGCCTGGATTCAAGGTCTAGCTTCGAGTTATTTTTTGATCTGGGTGGTCCTGAGCAAGTGCCTTAGTCTTTCTGAACTTCAATATCTCCATGCTAAGAAATGGAGATAATTTCTACTTTGAATGGACCCTTCTCCTCAGGAGTTAATAAGATAACACATGTGAAATTTCTTAGCATACTAATTACAACAAAACACTTCTCAACGTATATATATATATATATATATATATATATATAAAATATATCTTGTTATCTATATATTTCCTTTTCTTTTTTTGTCAGTCGTGGAACTTGAATTTAGGATCTGGGAGCTCTACCTGAGCTCTTTTGCTCAAGGCTAGAACTCTACCACTGAGCCACAGTACCACTTCTAGTTTTCTGGTGGTAAAGTGGAGATAAGAGGCTCACAGACTTTCCTGTCTGGGCTGGCTTTGAACTGTGATCCTCAGATCTCAGCCTTCTTAATAGCTAGGATTACAGGTGTCAGTCTCCAGCACCTGGCGCTCTCTCTCTCTCTCTCTCTCTCTCTTTCTCTCTCTCTCTTTTTCCCTTCTTCCCCTTCTTTCTTTCTCTCTCTCTTTTTCTCTGTCTTATCTATCTTATCCAACTACCTATCATCTCTATGAATACATATGTAATAATTTACAGCTACTTTTTAAAATTGGCTTGCCTTTTTAGAATAAAGTTGAAAGTTGAATGGAATGAAATACACATTCCCATCAGGATTCCAAGACCAGAAAAAAACATAGCTTGGTGGGATTGTGTTAAAGTGTAAAAGATCTATATAATAATACATGTCTTTGAGTCTCTGTGCTGTGATTCTGGCTACCATTGCCTTTACCAAATTTTCAGGACTAGAGAACCTACACAGGCTTGCTAAAAAATGGTCCACATTGACCCTTCCTCCCCACTGACAATCTAGGGACTCAGGAATCCTTCAATTCTGGATTCAGTTGATTAAGTAGAAAGCATAACTAATCAAATTTATATTTTTTCAAGTGATAAGTGTATGTAAAATGTACATAATAATGAGTTTAAAGATTACAATATGTGAAAGAAAACTTACAGTTCCTGGTTCCTCCATTTCCAATACATAAGTAAGATGGCTATGTGAGTTTACGTTGGCTGGTGCACACCATTCTAGTGACAAACTAAAGATATCAGCTTCCTTTAGCTTAGGAGGCAAAGGTGTTGGGGGCATAGACCCGGATGTATAAAAGGCTGCGATTTCACTGAAATCACTGCAAAATTAGATTAGGATGAATAAATTAGTTTCAGGTTCTTATGGAAGTACAGACTTCTAAATGCTGCAAATAACTCAATGTACCTCAAGCCAAAGTTATTTCTGGCAGCTAATCTGAATGAGTATTTTGTTGAAGCAGTCAGTTTTAGGAACTTTTGCTGTTTCATTGTTCCTGTATAGCAACTTTTGAAATTTTCGCCTTTCCCCTTAGGAACACATGCAGAAAAATTAGAATATTAGAAAGTACAATGGTTAACAAGACAAATTCATCATAACAATAATCACACATAATCAAGTGCTTTAAAAAATAAGACTGTATACCTCATCCCATTCCAGAAGGAAGCTGTTAATTTTGGAACCATTTTCATTTGAACCCTAAAAATACCAGAAAGACAATTATAATGGCCTGTATTTACATATGTATATACTTATATGCTATGTATATTGTGTACATGTACATATAAGTAATGCATTACAACATTAATTACAAATCTAAAATTTTATAGATATAAAATTAATATGCTGATATGAATTTTATAGATATACTTTGTTTTAAAAGGAATCAAAATTTAAAGTTAAAATATCCTCCATAAAATATGTCTAGCTCTATGCTCTGTTGTATTTTATGTATGTCATGAAGAAAATCAACACTTAGGTCAAATGAGAGATTTTTTTTTCGGTCACGGGGCTTGAACTCTGGGCCTGGGCTCTGTCCCTGAGCTCTTTAGCACAAGGCTAGCACTCTACCACGTGAACCACAGCACCACTTCCAGCCTTTTCTGTTTATGTGGAGCTGAGAAATCGAACCCAGGGCCTCATGTATGCAAGACAAGCACTCTACCACTGAGCCCACCTTCCTAGCCTGAGAGATAGATTTTACTAGTATGGTAATAAATAACTAAGTTTAGGTGGTAGAAAGTGCTAATTAGGCTTTAATTAATTATTATAATTATTGTTGATTATTTTCAATTTATTTGACGTTTGATCCAGATAGAAGGAACAGAAATATTGTGGTAAAGAAAGATACTAGAGAAAAAGGTTAAGGCAGATAGGCAGAATTCCCTACTTAAAATTCAGATCCCAGTAGGAAGTGCTTTTATCAATCAAATCCTTACTTTCCACTGCAAATTCAGAGTGCTTTTTGACCGATTAATGAGTTTAGGTGCTTGTGGACGATCCGGTTCACAGCCTGGTGTTGTAAAATTAACCACTTCAGACAAGATTTTATAATTTGATCCTCTTCTAGCTGCAACTCTAAAAATGTAATGACAATTATTATAAGCTTTCAAATATGAAATCACAAGTGTGCATTTTCAGACAGACTTCCTAAGAATAATGATAAAATATGGGTTCATATAGCAAAGTTGGGTACTTGCAGATGGCTCCCAAAGTTCTTTTCTAAATGAAGAAAGTGAACTATACCAGATCTGAAGGAGGTTGTTTTGAAGCTTAAAAGAAAGATCAATTTGCTTGAAATAGTTAGGCTGACTATAGGGATTAGAAGTAGTGAATTGGTACAGACCAGGAAATTTTGGCTCACTATAGGTTAGGTGTCAGTTGTGTAGGATGGCGTTCTTACCTTAAAAAATAGGTCATGGATGGTTGTAGAGTATGTAGGTTAAATGAAAGTTTGTCACCACTGTGAAGAAAACTTTTGTTTACAATGGGTATCATGCATATTTGAAAGCTAAGCAAACAGTTCCTATCTTATACATTCAACTGACAAAGAAACATGATTCTCTTTGAAACTGGACTTGAACCCACTTTATATGTGTGCAAAATGGTAACAGTGAATTGGGCACCGGTGGCTCATGTCTATAATCATAGCCATATAGGCAGTTGAGATCGGAGAATCATAGTTTGGAGCTAGCCCAGACAGGGAAAGTTCATGAGACTTTTATCCCAAAAACCACACACACACACACACACACACACACACACACACACACACACACACACACACACACACACACACACACACACACACACACACACACACACACAGTAAGGAGTGGGGCTGTGGCTCAAGAGACAGAGTATCAGCCTTGAGCAAAAAATAAAACAAACAAACAAAAAACACAAAACCTCAGGGACAGTGCCCAGGCCCTGTGTTCAAGCCATAGGACTGGCTAAAAATTTCTTTCTTATTAGGAACTCTGCAAACTGAATGAGCTAGTTGATATAGAAAGTATTCAGTTTTAACAGTCTTACAATCTAATGAGTTTTGTGGGCTGACTTGGTAACCTAATACTATTTAGAAAATGACTTCTGCAAACAAATATATTCAAAGCTTAGAAAAAGTGAGAATTCAACCTGTTAAGTATAATTTGGGGGGGTCTATATGTTAAGATAGCACAACTGAATTGAAGTGTAGGAAAGCAGAAATGATTAAAATGACTTACGTATAAATATTTTTATATTTTCCATTTTTCCCTGTTGTAGACATTGCCAGTTCAAATGTTACTGGAGGTCTAGTATCGTCAAATTCTTCAGAACCATATAGATTCCATGTAATCACAGCAGATCTGTTTTGAATATCAGAAACCTAAAATAGTAAAAACATGAGGATCAAACTTAAAAATTATAAGCTGTGATTTATAATATAGTCTTTCCTTTAGTCTGTTTTGATTCTAAGTAGATTGTTCTCTTCATATTAAGTTCTTACACACTGTGATCAGTCTCAGTAAGCCATGAATCCTGTCTGTAATAATGCCAAAAAGGCCCTTTATTTATTGGATTGCTAAAAGAGATTATGAAATTTTAACCAGTTAAAGCTACAAATTAAAATGGTACTATGGAAACATCCCACTAAATTTTTAGGCTTAAGACTGACGAAAGCAAATGAAAAGGAATGCTCCTTCATTTTAGTTACTTACAATGGGCTTCTCAATGTTGAAACGACGAGACTTCTCAGGTTGCTTTGTGCATTCTAAAAGTAAACAAACACCATAAACACAAAATTACATTGGTAAAAATAAAAGAAAGTAGTGGTATATTTATTATCTCACTACAAATATATCATGCCTGAGACAAATACTCACACTAAACAGCTATTTACTTTACAAGAAGCAAACAGTCTAAAGTGTGTTAAACAAATTCTAGCAAAAGAGAAATAAAAACCCTCACCTAAAATAAAAATCATATAAATTGGTTAGCATTGTAATTTGTGACATTTCACTGACAGGCAAAAATAGGAGTATGCAATTTTGTACAATTAAATTGTACAATTTTGTACAATTAAATTTTTATTTTATTTTTGTGGTGCTGGGAATGGAATCTCTGGCCTTACGTACACTAGGCAAGAATTCTGTCATTGAACTACATCCCTAACTCTCTTCAAGATTTTAAAAAGCAGGTTAATTTGCCATTTCATTCTATTCAGTCTCAAAAAGAGTAAATCTTGTGATTTGCTACAACACAGATGAACTTGGAGGATATTACACTAAGTGAAATAAATCAGGCACGGAAAGAAAATAATGATCTTACTTATATGTGGACCTAATACAGTTGGATACTCAGAAGTAGAAATGGAATGATGGAGAAGGGGTAGAGTGGGAAGGGAGAGAATAGTGAGTTGTTGGTTGAATAATTCTATGTCATTTTCGTATATGAAAACAGCACATTGTACCCTATAAATTTTTACAACTATTTCTCAGCGGGTGCTCTACAACTTGAGCCATGTCTCCAGTTTGTAATTATTTTTCCATAAAAATAGTAATAGCCAGGCTTCAGTGGTGTGTGCCTATCATCCCAGATAATTGAGAGACTGAAATCAGGAGACTTCAGTTCTAGGCCAGCCTTGGCAAAAAAGTTAACTAGACCCTATCTCAGCAGAAAGAAAGTTGAGTGGGTATAAATAGGAGGACTGAAGTCCAGACAAGCATATGCAGGAAGCAAGAGCTTGTGTGAAAAATACCAAGAGCAGGGCTGGAAGTGTGCTCAAGTGGTAGAACATCAGTCAAATAAGCAAAAAATAAAACAACAAAACAGAGCTGGTACATTGTTCAACATTGCTCAAGCAGTAGCCCGTCTGCTTGGCAAATGTGAAGCTCTAAGCTTGAACTTCATTGCCACCAAATAATAATAATAATAATAATAATAATAATAACTTTAAAATAAATGACAATTACAGGTAGAAGCACAAAAAATAAAGAAAAGGAAGTAGAAAATGACATTTAAATATTTAAAAGGCACTGATATTCCTAAAGATTTCAACACTCATCAGCAAAGAAACTCCTAGATTTACCTTTTAGTGGTTCACTTGATGATTGGATCTGATTTTGTTTTCCAGTTGATTTTTGTTTGTTTTCTCCATCTGTTGGTGTCTGATTCTTTCCATAATTAGTCTCAGCCTTGGCAGCTCCAGATGTAGTGGGAGCAGTGGACTCAGTGGATTCAGTGTTAGGAGCACTGGGCTCAGCACTGAATGTGCTATAAGTACTGCTTTCAGCACCGGACATGCTGTGAACACTGGGCTCAGTAATTGATGTGCTGGGAGCACTAAGATCAGCACTGGATATGCTGGGAGTGCTAGATTCAGCACTGGAGATGCTGGGAACACTGGGCTCGGTGATGGTTGTGCTGGGAGCATTAGGATCAGCACTTGTGCTGGAAGTGCTAGGTTCAACAATTGATATGACAGGAACAGTAGGCTCAACATAGGATGTACTGGGAGCACTAGGCTCAGCACTGGTTGTGCTGAGATCACTCAGTGCGAGAGGAGCACTGCATGTGAGATCAGTAAATTCGGCACTGGTTATGCTTGGAGCGCTAGGCTCAGCACTCGATGTGCTTGCCACACTGAGCTCAGTGCTGGAAGCACTGAATATGAGGGGAGCAATTTGTTCAGTGCTGGATAGGACAGGAGCACTAAGTTCAGTGCTGGATGTGCTCGGAACACTAGGCTTAGCACTGGTTGTGCTGGTGTTACTGGATATGAGAGGAGCACTAGGCTCAGCACTGGTTGTGCTGGGAGTACTAAGCTCAACATTGGATGTAAGGGGAGCACTAGGCTCAGCACTAGATGTACTGGGAGCACAGATCTCAATACTGGTTGTGCTGAGCTCACTCAGTGTGAGAGGAGCACTAGACTCAGTGCTAGATGTGGTAAGAGCACTAAGTGTAAGGATATCAGTAGACTCGACACTGCTTGTGCTTGGAGCACTAGGCTCAGCACCAGATGGGCTTACAGCACTGAGCTCAGTGCTAGATATCAGAGGATCACTAAGCTCAGGGCTGGATGTGCTGGGAGCACTGGGCTCAGCAGTGGATGTGCTGGTGTTATTAAATATGAAAGGAACACTAGGCTCAACACTGGTTATGCTGGGAGTACTGGGGTCAGCACTGGATGGGCTTGAAGCACTGGGCTCAGTATCGGTTGTGCTGGAAGCACTGGTTGTAAGGGGAGCATTATGCTCATCATTGATTATTCTAGGATCAGTGGACGTGCTTGGAGCACTGGATTCATCACAGGTAGTGCTGGGAGCACTGGATTCATCACAGGTAGTGCTGGGAGCACTGGATTCATCACAGGTAGTGCTGGGAGCACTGGTAGTGGCTAGAGAATTCTCAATGATACTAGGTGCATTTTCGGAGATAGGAGTGTTGGCAGCATTGGCTGAGGAGGAAGAACCTGAAGGATTCTCCAAAACGGATGGGCTTACAATTATGTCAGAGGTGGTAGTTGTGGAAGCACAATCAGTGCTGTCAGTGGTGTCAGAGCAAAAATTAGTGTCGGTGGTGACCATGTTATAGGCATTGTCAGTAGAAATGCTGGGGGTTTCGTTAGGGATGTCAGTGTTGGGAAGATTGTCAAAAGTGTGAGTACTTAGAGTACTGTTTTCAGTGCAAGTGCTCAATGTATTATCTACAGTGTAAGTGCTGCAACTTTCATCTACAGTGTAGATGTGGGGAGCATTGTCTACAGTGTAAACATCTGGAGTATATTTAGCAGGTGTAATGCTAGTAGCTTTGTTTTTGCATCCACCTGGGCGGTCTTTCATTTTCTTATATTCACCTGTCTTAGCAGGTCTTTCATCAAATTCGTTATAATTTGCTCTTCCATAAGAGTAGGTTTCTAAAAGAATGATGTTGAAAAATTATAATAATTACAAATATCAAGTTGTTATTTTTTTTAACTTAACCAACAAAATAACACTTAAAGCCAGGCTTTACTTTTCAGTTTTCTTTTCTTTCTTTTTTTGGTTGGTCATGGGGCTTGAACTCAGGGCCTACGTGCTGTCCATAAGCTTTTCTGCTCAAGGCTAGCACAATTCTACTTGAGCCACACCACCGCTTTGATTTTCTGGTGGTTAACTGGAGATAAGAGTCTTATGCACTTTCCTGCCCAGGCTGGCTTCACACCACGAACCTCAGATCTCAGCCTCCTGAGTAGCTAGGATTACAGGTATAAGCAACCAGAGCCTGGCTTCAAAGTTTTCTTATTTGGCTTTAATAGGGTATTAGATATATGCATATGTGTTACTGCGTGTTATAATATATTGTAATGTATAGAAAGATAAATATAAACAATTTATATACTTTTTTCCAGGTAGTAATGCCACTTCCAGATTTTAAGGTTTTAAGATGGTTGGAATATTGACCCTTTAATGCCTTTTATATTCTTAGACTAAGGTCTTAATGATCAAGTTATTTATTTTTTTAATGCTGGTCCCAGGACTTGAACTGAGGGTCTAGGTGCTGCCTTGAGTGTTTTGTTCAAGGCTAGTGCTCTACCACTTGAGCCACTACTCCACTTCTGGCTTTTTGGTGCTTAATTGGAGGTAAGAATCTCACAGACTTTCCTGTATGGGGTGGCTTTGAACTGTAATTCTCAGATTTCAGCCTCCTGAGTAGCTAGGATTATAGGTGCCTGGCTCTTGACCAAGTTCTTTTATGGTTTTCAGGTTGGATTTTATAGACTCAGTCAGTAAAAAATCATTAAAAAATAAGTATCAATAAATTCATACTATATAAAAGTACAAGAGGGGGCTGGGAAGGTGGCTCAGTGGTAGAGTGCTTGCCTTGCATGCAAGAGACCCTGGGTTCCATTCCTCAGTACCACATAAGCAGAAAAAGCCAGAAGTGGTGCTGTGGCTCAAGTGGTAGAGCACTAGCCTTGAGCTGAAGAGCTGAAGGACAGCGCCCAATCCCAGAGTTCAGGCCCCACAACCGACAAATAAAATAAAATAAAAAAGTACAAGAAATATTTATGGGAAATTCTGTTTAAGAAACACTTTGCCTAAAACAAACCTAAGTGTGTATCATCATATATGTAGGATTGATGACACAAGGCAAATGTTCATGGAAACGTTGCTATTTCTGTTTTTTTCCACTTTATAAGTTTTCTAAATCTATTCATTTTATTAGCATATATTTCATTAGTATATATTGGTTGTACAAGGGAATTTCATTGTGATATTTCTATCCATGCATCAAACTCACCTCTTTATCACTCTCCCTTTCTCTCTTTTCTTAAAACAAATTCAACAGATTTTTTTCCCATACGTGCATGTAATGTACTTTAACTTTATTAATAATCATTTACCCACTTGGCTCCTCTTTCTCCCCTCAACAGAATATGTCTTACATTCCTGTCATCCAGTGTCTTCATCAGTGTGTATTAGCTGCACAAAGAAGTTGCACCATGGTATTTCCCACATAAATATATTATATTTTAGGTCAATTAACTCCCTGTTATTGTGCTCTCAATTTGTTTAACGAATGTACAATAGTTTCTGTTGAAAAAAGGTATACAGTACCGTGGTAATCTTGGTACATATACGTTGCTGGTGCTGGTGGAAGAGCTGGTAGTGGTGGCAGTGGTGGCAGCAGCTGCTGCACAACAGGTTCTTGGAAGTAAGTTACTGGAAATTCTCCTTGAGCTGGAGGATACATCATCTGAGTAGCGTGTGGATATAGAACGGGTGGATGTGTCATATACTGGGATCCGTGTGTTGTAGCAGGCACCTGCAGGTTGTAGTCAGTTATCTGGGGCACAACAACAATTTTTCGAATTCCGTTTTCCTCAACCACCTAAGATAGAGGACACAGGAAAGTAAGTCATTATTGTAGCTATTGTAATAGCTAATTAAGATGGATGAACATACTTGGAATCAATAAAAACGGGGGATTACTGATTATCAAAGTGATCCAAAGTCAGCAGGTAAATTAGGCATCTTGTAAAAGGCCAAGATGGATTTGGTTATAGGTCAGTCATTTTGAACAATTACTTTTGTTGTTGTTGTTGTTGGTTATGGAGCTTAAACTCTGGGCCTGGGTGCTGTCTTTCAACTCTTCAGCTCAAGTTAAGTACTCTACTACTTAAACCACAGTGCCACTTCTGGTTTTCTGGTGGTTTATTGGAGATGAGTGTGTCTCATGGACTTTCCTGCCTGGGCTGTTTTTGAACTGCGATCCTCAGATCTCAGACTCCTGAGTAGCTAGGATTACACACGTGAGCCACTGGCGCCCAGCTTTTAACAATTACTTTTAAACTGATTGCTTTGTGGAATGCCAGTGGCTTACACTGATAATCCTAGCTACTCACGAGGATGAGATCTGAGGATCTCAGTTTAAGGCCAGCCCAGGGCAGGAAAGTCCAGGATACTCTTATCTTGAATTAATCACCAAAAAGCTGGAAGTGGAGCTGTGGATCAAGTGGTAGAGCACTAGCCTTGGGTAAAAATGCCAAACATATGGCCCAGGCCCTGAGTTCATGCCCCAGGACCAACACACACACACACACACACACACACACACACACACACACACACACACACACACACACACACACACACACACACACACACACACACACACACACACACACACACACACACACACACACACACCAGTAGCTTTTTAGTAATAATGATAACAAGGGCTGGAGATATAGCTCATTGGAAGAGCAATTGCCTAGTACGGGAAAAGCCTTGGGCTGTATTCCCAGCATAGCAGGAATGCAATGGTAACAGTAAAATGAAAAAATAGTATTCCAGAATTTTTTTGTGTGTCTGTGTTAGTACTGGGACTTGAACTCAAGGCATTTTTTGCCCTCACTTGGATTTTTTGCTCACAGCTGGCTCTCTACCAGTTGAGCTATGCCTCCAGTTCTAGCTTTTTGTTGGTTAACTGGAGATAAAGTTTCTCAGAATTGCCTGGCCTTGAACCACAATTCTTAGATCTCAGTCTCCTGAGCAGCTAGTATTCAGCTCCATAATTTCTTTTATCAAGCAGTGGGATGGGGAAAAATGTTAAATGATAATTTAGAGCTAAACAGCCAAATAAAAACTATGTTAACATACCTGGGACATATATCCAGGTGGTAGGTAAATGGGAGGTAACGTACCACTTGGTGACATCAGAGGTACATCAGCAGGTCCTAAGAAAATAAATAATAATAAATAGTGAAATTGCTTGAAACAAAGTTATTTACAGGAGCCAGTTAACATTGAGTGGTCAAAACAGCACTGAGCCATAACAATGACAAGCCATTTTGAAAGTGTTGTTTATTCACAAAGACAATTATCAGAGACAAATCACAACTAATGAAAAATAAGCCCCTAAAACATGACATGGGCAATATTTATATTATAAAAAATATTGGCAAGACTGCTAATGCAGATGAACTACAAGAAGGTTATTTGTATATTGATCTCTCTCTGTCCTCTCTATTTTGTGCTGGTACTGGGGAATTTATCTCTTTTTCTCTCTTACCCCATCAATCTGTCTATATTTCTCTTCTGTTCTGGTATTGGGATCTCTGTCTCTTTCTCCCTTTCTCTCTCATCTATCTGCCCATTTTCCATCATCCATCCATCCATCCATCCATCCATCCATCCATCCATCCATCCATCCATCCATCCATCCATCCCTATCTATCTTTTGTTGTGGTACTGGGGTACCTTCCCCCTTCATTTATCTAATTCTATCTATCTATCTATCTATCTATCTATCTATCTATCTATCTATCTATCTTATCTCTATCTATCTATCTATCTTTCTATCTATCCATCCAATTTCTGTTGGCACTGGGATATTTTTATTTTATCTCCGTCTCTGTATCTCTACCAATCTCTTATTATCTCTATTTTTCTCTGTGGCTCTCTATATCTTTTTTGTCAGTTGTGAAGCTTGAACTCAGGACCTGAGTGCTGTCCCTGAGCTCTTCAGCTCTAGATTAATGCTCTACTCACTTGAGCTACAGTACCACTTCTGGTTTCCTGGTGGTTAATTGGAGATTAAAAGTCTCTGGGACTTTCCTGCCCAGTCTGGCTTTGAGTGTAGATTCTCAGATCTCAGCCTCCTAAGTAGCTAGGATTACAGGTGTGAGCCACCAGTATGGCTTCTATATCTCTTTGTTTTCTTTAGCTCTGTGTCTCTCAGCTCTCTCTCATATATCTGTCTTTCTGTCTATATCTGTCTCTATTTTGTGCTGGTATTGGGGTATCTCTATGTCTCTTTATCATGTTTGTACTGGGTTATCTCTCCCTTTATCTCCTATATCATTGTTTCCTCTTCATTTCTCTTGCTGTCAGTTTATCTTTCTCTTTCACTCTGTCTTTCATATCCATCTCTCTTTCACACATATTCTATTTATCTATCTCTTTCTCTCTCTGGATCTCTGTCTTTCTCTCTTTCATCTATCATTCTATCTATTTAGTTCTTTTTTTTGGGGGGTGGGGTCCAGTCGTGGGGCCTGAACTCTGGGCCTGGGCGCTGTCCCTCAGCTCTTCAGTTCAAGGCTAGCGCTCTACTACTTGAGCCATAGCGCCACTTCCGGCTTTTTTCTTTTTGCTTATGTGGTGCTGAGGAATTGAACTCAGGGTCTCAGGCATGCAAGGCAAGTGCTCTACCACTGAGCCACCTTCCCAGCCCCTCTATCTATTTAGTTCTGATACTAAGATTTCTCTCTAGCTCATCTCCTCTTGCCCCCCCCCCCATATGTACATACGTATGTATGTATCTATGCATCTGCCTATCTTTCTTTTATTCATCTTTAAAAAAATATAATTTTATTGTTATTATTAAGGTGTTGTAAGAGAGGTTACCAATTTATAAGTCACATAATGAGAACATTTTTTTGGGACAATGTCACCCCTCCTTCTCTTTCCCCTAGTTTTCCACTCTCATTCCTGCCCACAAGTTACATAGATCATTTTGTACATAGTGTATACTGAATAGCATGATAGCATTTGTTCACTCTTCCTCTCTCCTCTTTAACCCCCGCCCAAAAGAAAAAAAAGACCCAAAGCAAAAACAAATACCACCACCTCCACCATCACCATCACCAATAACCATAATTTTTTTCTATTTCCTGGAATTTGTTCTGATAAATAGTATTTTAAATATTCAGAGCAGTTACACCTTTGGGTTCTTCCTCTAAGAGTATCCTCCTTTAGTTTAACTGTGTGTGAATATCTAGAGTCCTGTGTAGGTTATCATGTCCTGTTATATTTTTAGATACAGCTTCCCCATATGAGAGAAAACATTTATCATCTGTCTCTCTGAGCTTGGTTTACCTCACTTAACATGATTTGTTCTAAGTCCATCCATGTCTCTGGCAAATGACATAGTCTGTCTGTCTACCTACCTACCTACCTACCTATCTATCTATCTATCTATCTATCTATCTATCTATCTATCTATCTATCTATCTATCTATCTATCTAATCTCTATCTTCTCTCTCTCTCTCTCTCTCTCTCTCTCCTGTTGATACTAGGGTATCTTTCTATCTTTCCTTGTTCCCTTTCTCTCTTCTCCTCATCTTCCTTCTTCTCTCTCCACATCTCTCCCTTTCTCTATCTCTACCTCTTCGTCTTTCTATCTCTCCATCTATTATGTCTATCTATCTGTCTTTCTATCTCTCCGTCTGTCTCTATCTAGTGATTTTGCTGAGGTCTCTCTTTCCATGTCACTTTCTCTTTCTAGCTTTCTCTTTGTATCTTTTATTTCTGTCTCTGCTACCATATCTATCTTATATCTCTATTCCTATCTCTTTATCTCTCTGTATTATCTATATATGGATCTATGGATCTATCTATCTGTCTTGTCTGTCTATTATCTATTGTTCTAGCCATGTCTATTTTTTGTTTGTACTGGGGTATCAATTTTTGTCTTTTTTCCCTTTCATCTCTCTATTTCTCATTTATCTATCTATCTACCTACCTATCTATCTCTCTGTACTGGGGTATCTTTCTCTTTCTCATTTCTATCAATCTATGTATGTAAGTATCTATCTATCTATCTATCTATCTAGTAGTTTTACTGTGGTGTCTTTCTCTTCCTATCCCCATTTTTCTCTACCTATCTCTTTTTTTGTATCTGTCTCTAAGTCTGTCTATCTCTAATCTACTATCTATCTGTCTGTCTGCCTGCCTGCCTGCCTGCTTGCCTGCCTGCCTGTCTGTCTCTTTTGTCAGTCTTTGGCCTTAAATTAGGCTTGGTTGCTGAACCTGAGCTTTTGCACTCAAGGCTAGCACTCTACCACTTTAAGCCATAGCTCTACTTTTCTGGTGCTTAATTGAAGATAAGAGTCTCAAAGGTTTTCCTACCTGGGCTGGCTTTGAACCTCCATCCTCAGACCTCAGCCTCCTGAATAGCTAGGATAATAGGCATAATCCACTGGTTCCCAGCCTATCTGTTTTGTGCAGGTGCTAGGCTATCTTTCCCTATCTTTGTTTTTTTTTGGGTCCAGTCATGAGGCCTGAACTCTGGGCCTGGGCGCTGTCCCTCAGCTCTTCAGTTCAAGGCTAGAGCTCTACCACTTGAGCCACAGCGCCACTTCCGGCTTTTTTCTTTTTGCTTATGTGGTGCTGAGGAATTGAACTCAGGGCCTCAGGCATGCAAGACAAGCGCTCTACCACTGAGCCACCTTCCCAGCCCTCTTTCCCTATCTTGCATGTGCTCTCTCCCCATATCTATTTTGTGCTGATAGTTGTGCATCTCTATCTCACTAGATTTCTATGTATGTATATACATATTGAATTATTTTATTCTGGTACTGGGAAATCTCTGTCTGTTTTTGTATATCAATCTCTATCTTTCTACCAATCCATGTGTCTTTCTTTTTCTATTTTGAGTTGGTACTGGGGTATCTATCTTACTCTATATATCTTTATCTCTTTCTATGTATCTGGCTATCTACCTATATCTCTATTTCTCTACTTTTAGTTGATACAAGTGTTTTTCTTTATGTCTTTCTATTCCCCTATCACTATCATTCTATTTTTCTTTCTCTTTAAATCTCTCTGTGGCTCTCTATCTTTTCCTCTCTGTATCACTCTACCATTCTCTTTGTCCTACTCCCTCTATGTGTCTATTTAGTGTTGGTACTAGGGTATCTTTCCTCTATCTTGCATCGATCTATGTATCTATATATCTATATATGTATGCATGTATATATTTATCTATCCATCTATCTTTTTATGTAGTGATCTATGTATCTATGCTTCTATATATCTATGTGTCTGTCTGTCTCTCTAGTTGTTGGTACTAGCATAACTTTTTATCTCTTTATTTTTCTCTATTACTCCATCTATCTTTCTCTCTGTATATTTATCTTTTGTTTCTTTCATCTACCTCTCATTTATTTCTCTTCTATTTATCTCTCTGAATCTTTCTTTCTTTCTTTTTTGTCAGTCATGGGGCCTGAACTCTGGGCCTGGGCACAGTCCCTCAGCTCTTCAGCTCAAGGCTAGCGCTCTACCACTTGAGCCACAGTGCCACTTCCGGCTTTTTCTGCTTATGTGGTGGTGAGAAATCAAACCCAGGGGCTCACATATGCAAGGCAAGCACTGAGCCACCTTCCCAGTCCGAATATCTATTTCTCTATGTCTATTTGTCTCTATTTTCTCTAAATCTTTGCCACTCTGTATATCTGTTTCTTTCTTGCTCTCTCTCAGTATCATTGCCATTCTTTCTCACGCTCTGTATCTGTCTATTTAGAGTTGGTACTGGGTTATCTCTATACCTCTCATCTATGTATGTATGTACCTACTTATGTATCTATCTATTGATCTATTTCTCCATCAATCAATCAACCAATCTCCCTCTCTCTTTCTATGTATTGATCTATCTATGTATTGTTGTTTTATTTTGTGCTGGTACTGAGGTTTCTTTTTTCTTTTCTTTTCTTTCTTTTTTTTTTTTTGCTGGTTGGGGCCTGAACTCTGGGCCTGGGCACTGTCCCTCAGCTCTTCAGCTCAAGGTTAGCACTCTACCCCTTGAGCCACAGCCCCACTTCTGGCTTTTTCTGCTTATGTGGTGCTGAGGAATTGAACCCAGGGCCTCATGCATGCAAGGCAAGCGCTCTACCACTGAGCCACCTTCCCAGCCCTGAGGTTTCTTTATCTCTCTTCCTGTCCTACTCTCTCCCTTGC